CGTATCGGTGGGGTGCCGGTCTAAGAAGGGAAGGAGAGGGCCTGGCTCGCAGTGGCAGAAAGAGCGTACTGGGTAGGGAAGCTGCGATGGGCCTCTACAGTGGAGAGAGGAAGGCACGCTTGAGCCTTGGGGGATGGTCAACACGCACGAACAGCGAGGCTACCGCGTCGGCTAGCTCCTGCTTCGGCGTCAGGGATCAGGGGTCCGGTCGTTCTTTCTGCGCGCGGTGATTGGGCTGACCCTGCCGAGGGGAAATGAGATGTACCTGGCCTAAAATTATCCTCCGATGCTTTTCGTCTCAGGTGCCTGGAGACGATTGCGACTCCAGCTGGTCGAGTTATTAGGTATAAGACAGTCGTTTATACGACCTCGACAGCGACCCACCGCATGCCCGCTGCGTGCAACCTCTCTCGACGGCAGCCCGCAGCGCTCCATGCTGACCCGCAGCTATCTGCAGCACAATGCAGCAGGACGCATGCGGCATAGCGTCTGCCTGCACACACTAACAGTTGGACCGACCTGCTGGATTAGTCCGCTGTTTCAATATACAAATACTGCTGTCCACCGCGCAACCGGTCCGCTGCGGATGGCATTGTTGTGTTGCAGCGCATAATGTCGAGCCTGTGCCTGAGACCGTCCGCCCTCAGCACAACCACGTCGCTTCGTCTCACGACGCTCCCCGCAATTGTGGACGCCTATGCGACGTGGCCATGCGCTGTTCGAACGGCGCATGGGGCTTGCGGAGCCTCCAGCCTCGTTCTTAGCGGCGTCCATCGTTCTGTTTACTGTGCGTGCTGCGTAGCTTTCTGCAGCGCCCGTTGACCCTCGGCCCTTTCCTACTGCAGACTAGCTAACGGCCCGCTCCCTCAACCAGAACCATTGTTTACTCTGAGCCTGCGACGATCCGCCCTGATCTGCATCACCAGCCATATCCACCACATCTACGGTGGATTCGAGTTCCCTAGCATGTGTTGCGTCACTATCACACCTAGTACGCCGCAGAGGACCACTACCGATGACTGACGTCTGTGTCACGATGCACTTACGCCGCATCACCATTACATGCACTACCTGTCCAACTCTGGTCCCCAGCCTTCTTTGACTCCAGAGTCGAAGATCAATCTGTTTCGTTATTGGGATCATCTCGCAAACTCTCTGTGATCTACGCTATCAGGATCCAAGCGTCCAGCCATCCTCTCCACCGTCAATCAGCCACGTCCCAAGACTTTCCCCAGCATTCAGAGCATCAGTCACCATGGACTCCTGCCTTCAGTCACTATGCAAGCTTTTGCGGCGTCATCACGTCCACAGTTCTCAGGCACGGAGCATCTGACACTGCTTGTTTTAACTTTGCGTCTTGCGGGGATGTGGTCAATGCGACTCAGGCAAACCTGACTTCCGGATTGAAGTCTATCTTGGACTACTATACTCGTTGCTCTAGACGTCGCTAATCGTTTTTAGTCTTGTGCAACATCAACACCTTCCTGGGTATAGAACGCCTATCCATGTCGGAAAAGAATATCGCCGTGAACACTCGCCGAGGTATACCAACTTACGCAAGCACCCAAGCCGCCTAGAAGTGGCCGGTCTTATCACCATGAGCAATACAGCTCTTCTTGAGCTCCAACTTGATTGTCTCCGCGGACCAGGATTCCTCGACTGGAATCTCTACATGCGCGACGCTGAAGGGCGCTGCATCTGCAAGGGATGTGATCTTGGGCCGCTTGTTTACCTGCATCTGGAGGTTGACACATGCCGGCTTGTCGCCCCTGGCCGTTGTGATCTATACGATTTTGTTAGTGCATGAGGAGAGACAAAGTTTGGGCTTCTTTCGGGCTTCAACTTACACCTTGGTTGTCAAGTCGGAAGTTCTTGAGGTCAGTGTAGATGGTATCGCTCTTGAAACCGCCTTCTAGCTTGGAGTCTGGAATGCTATCGATGAAAGCCATCATGGCCTTGCGTGTCTTACCCATATCTGTGGTCTTGTATCTTGCTCTTCTATAGATCTCTGGTTGAGGCTAGTGAGTAAGGAACGCACTTGGGCCAAAGAGGACCTCCATATTAGAAAGAGGGCGACAGATCATTGTGCGTGCGAAGTGATGTGAGTGAATATGCCAAAAGAGACCAGATGGACTTCACAATACTGACGCGGCACCTTGGGATTGATGGTGTTGCCACGACGTCAGATATGTTCACTTTTCAGTGGTGACGTTGTTCAAAATGAAAGACAAACAAGGGAGCGTACTGCTTCCCCTTTGCGTCTAGTCACAACTTCTCACTTCCATTTCCAGTCTTCAACCACACCACAACCACCATTTTCCCAAACTTAGCTGCACACTATGACGACGACACTTCTTCCGCGACGCAAGGTCAATCAGCCAGGCTTAGAATGGGTAGAGGACGTCTTCAGCATCGAGCCATGCTGGACCGAAGAGCCATCGATAGAGACCATCGCAAGGCTGACACGCGATAATCTGAAACTACCGGAAGCAGAATCAGCCACTGTGAAAGCCTTCGCCGAGGGCGCTTTCAACAAGCTTTTCTCTATCGACTGCACCAAAGGTCGATTTATCTTCCGCGTCAGTTTACCCGTCGCACCAGTCGTCAAAACCAGCAGCGAAGTCGCAACTTTGGCTTTCATTCGCGAGAAAACCGATATTCCAGTACCGCAGGTCATCGCACACGATGCAGACCTTTCAAATGAGCTTTGCTTCGAGTGGATGCTCATGGAGCGGGTGGATGCGTGCCCTCTACACGAAGTCTGGCATGGAATGTCCTGGATGAAGAAGGGCTTGTTAGTCAAGCAGATCGCAGAGCATGTGGCACAGCTGTTCAATATCGAGCTATCTGGTATTGGTAGTTTAGGTCCAACCGACAAATTTGCCGCCAACGCAGATGGACCATCCACACATACAGTCGGCGAGATCGTCCAACCCGCCTTCTTCAAAGGCGACAACATCACCCTAGACATCGTTCGCGGACCCTTCCGAAGCATCCACGAGTACCTCACCGCCCGTCTCCAACTCCTCGAGCATTTCGCCAGCAAACTAGACCAAGAAGATGAAGACGACTTAGAACACTACTCGGACATTCAAGCCGTACTATCAAGTCTCCGCACTATCATTCCACGACTCTTCCCAGACAACAGCAGCTCGGCAGCAGAACCCACAATCCTCTGTAACCGCGACATGAGCACCTCAAACATCCTCGTCAACCCCCAAGGCGACCTCATCTCAATCGTAGACTGGGAATGCGTCGCAACGCTCCCACCCTACTTCGCCGTCCAACTCCCCCAGTTCCTCAAGGGGCCCTCGCGGACAATTCCTCCCGCATTTCCCAGCGACACCGCGTCTGAAGTACACAAAACAGAGCTGGAACTCTACGAAACGACTTGTCTGAGGAAGTTCTTTCTAGAGGAGATGGCGAGGATTTGTCCGGCTTGGTTGAGGGTCTTTGAGACGGAGAAGATTCGGGCTGATGTGCTTGTTGCGTTGGATAAGTGTGAGAATGATATGACGGTCAAGTGGGTGAAGGCGTGGTTGGATGCTGTTGTTGAGGGGAGGGAGCCGAGGGTTAGTTTGACGGATGCGTGTCGGAATCCGTTGGGTGCGGCGTAGGCGATGTAAATGTGAGAGCAGTATGTGTTCATAGCAGAAATTGCGATTCCAGGTCCGAAATGCGATTGGGTATCATTCAACGCCTCTTCCTCCTCCTCCTCTCTAACCCCTTGCTTATATCCCATAACTTTTATCAAGCCCCCAAGACCACATGAAAGCGTCTTCTCAAAAGAACTTGACACCCTCGCCCTCACCCCCCGACCCAAAGACCTGCGCCCTCCCCCTCTTAACACAAACCCCCAAACTCCTCTGCAACAACTCCAAATCCATACCAAAGAACTCCTCCCGCCGACTCGCATCCCCCTCGACAATCTCATACAGCGTAAGCACCGTACCCTTCTGCCCCGTCCTCTCAACCCACTCCTCCAACGCCGCAGCCCACTCCTCCGGCCTGCGCCAATATATCCACGCCTTGCCCCCTTCACCCTCCTCCCCCGCCTTCGCCTTCTTCGAGGAACTCGTGTTGATGAACTCGGCGCGGTTGCCGCCTTCGGGGGAGGCCATGTAGGTTATGATGGCTTTTGCGTCGCGCAGGGAGAGGCTGCGTCGCAGCGTGGTGTTGGTGAAGAGCGGGGTGGGTAGCGCGTCGATGAGGGAGAGGGTGAAGATGCGGTTGTGGCGGCAGTAGGATTGGATGAGCGTGGACCAGGAGGCTAGTTGGGAGGAGCGCGTGCTGGCGACGGGTTGGAGGGTGAAGAAGGGCGGGAAGGAGTAGTGCGGTGGGAAGACGAAGTTGGGGGACGTGAGCGTTGGCGCTGTCGAGGGTGTGGGCGTGGGTGTCGAGGCGGGGGCGGGGGATATTGCTGCCATCTTTTATGCGGTTTTGGTAGATAGTTGGAAGGGAAAGTGGGAGGAGTAAGCTTGTGGGACGGTTGCGCGTGTAGAGGGTTGGTCGTTTGGTGCGCGCGTCGCTGGAGGTCTGCGGGGACTTTGCGACGTCATTGGTTGCTTGGCTTGGGCACCTTTCATTTGCATGATGGACACAACTACACACGACAGAACCCAACGCACGACAACATGAACATACGACACTCATTCCAAGAAATTCGCTATGCTTAGTGGATAGATCAATATCCAGCGACTTGGCCATTCAACCCAGTCTCACATCGATCGCTTTTATCAAAGAGAAGAACACGATCCACATACGAATACGAATGTGCATCGCTTTGCTTATTTCGACCGCCATGCCATTTCACTCTTGCTTCATTCTACAGACTGTAATCATCCTATTCTCGATCACCCGGATCGAAAGTCACCCCAGCCACAATCGGATTAGGAAACTCATCAAGAAGGAGCATTTTAGTGTTGGGTCCTTCTGATACCTTTCTTTCTGGCACTGTATCCTGCCTTGGTTATGTTTTCTCGTTGTTTCAACGTATATACTTAGTCGTCGTTGATAGCGGCGTCAAAACAGTTATCACAGATGAGAGTAAGCTTGTCAGAAAACTTGCGTATGTCTGCTTCCGCATGCTGCAGCTGATCGCGAAAAGCCTTCACAAATTGACCTACGGTGACGCCATTGTTGTCTTCCGCGAAAAGTTTGTACGTGCGGCCCTTATCGTGGTAAGCCCTATATGTGAACACGACGTCGATGCGTTGGAGACCTGGCGTACACAGAAGCATTTCCATCCAATCACTCTCCTTGGGTAAAGGATTGTTCTTGCTGACTTCCAACAAATCTTGCAGATGTTGGAACGATTCGAATTCGAACCAGGGTCGTGGCTTACCGGAGTTTCGTATCTTTGCTCTGTCGAATAAGCGTTCGTCGACGTGGTGCATGCACTGCTCCATGTTGTCAATAATGTCGTGGAAGGCGTTATCGCGAGTGAATTCGAAGATAGGTTCGGGGTTCGTGGACGCTTCGTTGAAGTCGACTTCCAGGACTATCACGGTCCGCGGGAAAGAATTGGGGAGGCCTTTCAGCTCGATACTCGTTCTCAGAGTCACGGTGATTGTGGCAATATCGTTGTCATCATCGTCGCTGTCGGTACTCTCATCGTACATGTTGTCGTCCTTCTCCTCGTTCTCATTGTCATCGTTCTCGTCATCTGAACCAGCTTCATTCCGGAGTATCTTCAGAGGGGCGTCTGAGACTGCGCTACCAGTCAGTATGCCTGAATCGGATCTATCGGTGCCGTCCTTTATATTCTCCTGCATGTTGTTTGGTATCTCCGGTGGTGTGATAACCTGTGAGAATGGATCGAGATTGATGATAGGAGGGATGACGACACTGGGGTGCTAGACTTTATACTGCGCCGGAGGTCACGTCCATCGAGCGACATGTGTGTCCTAAGACAAGTCCACATGACCATCAAGATATATTGCTAATGTCCTCATTGTTTGACAAAGGTCTCTTCATTTCCTAGACTCGTTCTATCTTCTTACCTCCCAAATCATGCTATCCTGTTCACACTCAATCCTCATGATTCTTCTCCCAGCATTCACCGCAGTAGACCAACATTTCCTCAGGAAATCCACATATGTCCTCCTCAATATGTGTCAGCTGTTTGCGGAAAGCCCTCACAAACTGACCCATTGTAACCCCGCATCCACCCTCTCCGTAAAGCCTATATTTGCGACGCCCACGGGTGTAGTACGTGTAATCGAAGACCACGTTAATGCGCGGCTGAGCTGGCTCACACAACAGCATGTCTTTCCATGAGCCATCGTTTCTGCTGCGCGAATATTTTCGCATCCTTTCTAACACTCCGTCCAGAGAATCGAATGAATCGAACCCGAAGTTTTTATGTGGCACTCCATTGGTTGCTTGAAACACATTGTCGACCAGGGGCAGACGCTCGTCCAGATTTAGAAGAATCGGATGGAAGTTCGTGCCGGAGGGAAAGTTGGATAGTTGGTCACAATCATCGGGGGCAAAACCACAACCGTAGTCTGTGTTAAAATCGACTTCGAACCTGATCATGGCCTCTGGGAAGGAGCCGGGAACGCAGAGCAAGTCGGCAGCTGCACGTAGATTGACTGTGACGGTAGGTACATTTTCCTCCGTCTTGTCAGTGGTATTGCTCAGATTCTTGTCGCTGTCGCTCTTTTGCTTGTCATCATCATCCGCTCCTTTGTAATGCTTCATGTTCTCTTTCTTGTCATTTACTTTCTCTCCACTTCTAGTCTCATCTTTGGGTGGCACTACACGATCCTTGAACATCTTGTCGCGGAGCACTGGATCAGTGCTACGAATGTTATCACGCCACTCCGTGCACACTCGAAGGGAGCGAAGAACTGTATTCACAGTCAGTGGTGAGTATCAAGATGAAGCGCCCCCAATACATTTGAGAGAGCAGATTCGCGGTGTGAACTTACGATCACGTAGATCCAGAAAGCCGAAGATGTTCTGCCATATCTCGTTTGGAAGATGGTGATTGGCGCCGTCTGTCGGTATGTCAGGTTGCTTGTGTGATATGCTTATGCTATTGTTGCTGGTCAGGGCACGTGTATCTCCTTTCATCTTATATTGCATCTTAGGCAACGCAATCTCTCGGAAAACACCAGTGGGGTTGAGAGTTGAGAGTATTGGAATACAGAGGCCGGAAAATTATACCGCGTGTTAAGTCACGTTGATCGAGCGGTAGGATACTTGGTGAAACAATTCCGCGTGATCATCAGGTCATACTACTGATGAATTTTGTTTGATCGTGGCCCATGAGATCGGACTCAGATGTACGAAGAGATATGTAATGACCATCAAGATCGTGAAACAGCGTATCGTTACTGTAGCTGACTACGCCGGGAACCTGCAAGCACGTGAACTTCTGACTGACAGCATACGTGATCTTTCATTTCTAAGGCTGTGAACTCATTAATGAACCCACTCGAAATGCCCCTACCGCATCCTACGCAAACTTCCGTCCCTGGTAATCTCGGTCTGCATGGATCCATCGCGCGGGAAATTCTCAAAGGTACCATCCCCATCTTCACCACCGCCCAACCAATCGAAAATCTCAATTATCCTTTTTTTGTGCTGCAGCGTAACCTTATGTATTATAAGCTTCTCAGTCACCTCTTTCAACAAGCTCCTGAGCGATGCAACCAAGTCCTGGAAGCGGATCCCACGATTGTCGGCAAGTGTGCGTGTGAGATGAGCACAAAACCCGGGCGTGTATATGGTCAGACGTAATTCCAACTTCTGTACTGGTGGGACGCATATCAACATATCGGTCCACAAGCCTTCGTCAACCTTGCTCTCAAGAGATATCGCGATCCTGCGTAATTGCTCCATGGACGTGAAGTCAAGTACGTATATACCATAGCGACTGGTGGGAGAAAATTGTCTAAGCCCTGGAATAACGAGCTTGTTCCACTTGAGCTTGAGGAATATAGGATTGACATGAAGCCCTGGGGCCCTAGTTTCGACAAGCGGGAGGGCGGGACTCACATTGAAGGTGTCTCCGGCATCTTTGGCGAAGTAGTTACGAGCTTGGATGCGCACCTCATGTTTGCATGGTTGAAGATCGGATGTCAGAAAGAGTATCTTCTTCAGTTCTGGGCTTGTTTCTGGTATGTACAGAGACCACTTCCTACACACGTGCCTGCATCGTATCAGGTCGTGGAAACCAAGATAACTGAAGACCGTCTGCATCGTCTCCATAGCCAGACTGTCGATCGTGGGTTGCGTCGTGCTTCGTACCGTGCCGTCTGCCGCAGCGGACGCATGTTTGGTCTTCTGCTTCTTTCTCCGGGGTGCCATTGTAGGTGGTTGATGGATGTTGGCAGGATCTTCAGTCACCACCTCATAGGCTCTTTAAATGATTTGACACAGCGACTATCAAACTTTCCTCCTTCTTCTCGTAAACCCGGGATGCATCCTCCCGCTACGAGAAAGATTCAGAATCTTCCTGTGCTTGCCCTTAGTCTCTGGAACGAGAGGCGACTCTTCTGCAAAAGCAAACACCTGGATGTCATCTTGTCGACGTTGAGACATCGATTCAAAGGCGTTAGCACCGTGATGCTTCAATCGAAAGGCCTAGAGTACTGTCATGGATACCATTATTCGTGAAGCTCAAACATGTACAAGTTATAGCCAAAACACCCCGACATTGCGTACAAAGCCGATGAATCCCAAAGCCAGTCCCAGACTTTTCGAGATCCTGAGCGCCTTAAGAATATGTGCAAAAGTCCAGTCTTGCACCTCGTCGTGCAGTTCGATCCCCAGAACCGCAGCCATTATGTTGGCAAGTATCCAACTCCCACCTCTTCATACACACATCACCGCCCATTGTCTCCACACCATCTTCACCGCCACCCCTTCCTCTTCTGCTGCTGCTGCGCACTAGCCTTCATCCTAATCTGATCCTCCTTCTGCTGCTGGAACCCCTTAACCTCCTGACTATACACCTCATACTGACCCAGCCAGTACTCGCCCAAGCCCTGCACATCCTCGACAAAGCCCTCAGGCCCTCTGTTGTACACCCAAAAGCCCACAACGAGTATCCCGCCCCAGAAGACCAGTCGCAACGCCAGGTTTACCCAGAAGATGACGGCCCGGTACATCATGTCCAGTATCTTGAGCGAGATGAAGAATATGGCGAGCAGCGCGAGGATGGAGGCGACATCGGGTTGGGTGATGAGTTTGTTGAGGAGAGGGGATAGGTGTGTGGATAGCGTGCGCGAGATGCCGAAGAAGGTTGTGAGGAGGTGGAGGAGTGGGTTTGCGAAGGACGGTGGGAGGAGGCGCGGGAGGAGAGCTGCGTAGTCTGGTATCTGGTGTTAGCAACCCGTGTCGCAATAGAATGATATGGCGATAGGCGCATCAGCGAAGCATACCTTGTATAAACTCCATATTGGGCGATTTGCGATTGGACGTGTAGAAGTCGTGTGCCAGACGCGATAGAACGCGTTTGTGGGGTGCGGATAACGAGATTCGCGCTTGCGACTGATCTGCGCGCGGATAGTGGCTGGTGGATGAAATGGGGCGACGCGAATTATGGGCTTGAGAAACGAGCACGCGATGGGGGTTATTGGGGTGTGGCTGATAATTTGCTTGTTTTGCCCACACGGTTTGCGGTGACAGCTGTCCACGTTGAGTCGTTGACCCACTAAAACGCTTTCACGCACGCCGTGCAGCTCAACACACCTTATCCTGGCTGCACGTCATCCGCTCGGTTCGCTTGGCTTAGTCATCCACATATCTGTGCAGGGAGAAGAAAGTGAGCAAATGCACGTAGACTCAGCCGACGACAACAGTATACGATGCAAAATTTGAGCCACAGAAGAGTAATGTAGACCTCCAAGTTACTTACTTCTTATCATAGTACCCGTGCAGGCATCTAGCTTGTCGCTTAGATGAGTTGCATCTCCCTTACCAAAACCCACCCATGATGTGCGCAAAAGCAACTGACACCGAAGATCCCTTACTCCACCACCCTGCGTCTTACATTTCAGCCCCCAAGAGTCCAGTATCACCACCTTCACCATCTCGCGGGGTTCACCCAGCCAGATAATGCGGTGTACTTTTCGAGCGCGGGAAGCGCGATCGCGCATGAATCGCGTCCCGCTCGCTTTTCGATAGTCGAAGTGGAGTGGAGTGGAGATGGCGGCCGAGCAGAGTTTCAGATCGCGTATAGCAACATTCTGGGGTCTTGGAACTGGCGGTGTAGACCACGTTTTTTTCCTTTGGCACAGGCACAGATGAGGCGTTTGCACGGCTAAGGGGTCGGCGTCGGCAGTCGTGGGTGGGAACGGTCGGGGCCGAGTTGCCGCTTGGGCTGATGTCGTGATGCGTGGTGCGTGATGTCTTGCAGGGCAGGGCGTATTGCGCAATGGGAGGGAGATCACTGCAGCAAAAAGTAAAGGATCATGTGCTAATGAGTTTGTTCATTGATATGGGTACAGAGGACTAGCCTCTCGCAGTGCTACAACTGCAGACCCGACTTTGTGGTTGGCTATACTACTGAATTGCATTCTCGTGCGATCTTCGGCACTGAGTGGCTCATCCTCCAACAAAAAGAAACAAAGAGGCTCGAGGCCTGTGTAGTGACTCAAAGGTCTGGTATCATAGATGCAAAGCGCCGCCGAACTCCAAATGACAAAATCATGTCCAATCGTAAAGTATGTATGCGAAGCGAAGGTCGTAAAGGTGAAGTGTTGACTGGGTATCGCGACAGCCCCGATGCTTGTACAGCAGCAAGCGGTGCGTGGTGACGCAAGAAGCTGTCAGGTGTGTTTCAGTCGCTTCGAGTGCTTTCGGCAGGCTGCAGGTATTACAGAGATCACTGCAAGCCGTAATGTTCGAGGTGCGAAGATGGCTGGAATGTTGAAGTGACACTGGCGTTCATATCCAGCGTCCAGCGCCCTTTTGTTGAGTGCCGTACTCTGATTCGAAGTTGAAGCGGAAAGCAGAAGTTTCTGATGGTGATGGGTAATGTATTAGAGGCTGGGATCGATGTGAAGATGTGGAGCCCCGGTTGAATTCACCGCTTGGAGAGTTCGGAGAATAGGGTGTTGGGGGTCGGTCGGCAATAGACGAAGCAACACTGGACTTCCTCCGTACACGCTCGGGCTTTCGTATCGAGCTGGTGGGTGACTTTAGTGAAGCCATGTCGGTTAATGATGGTGTCCTTGGAGGGAACTCGTATGTGCTAAGCTCTTTCTCGAACATGGAAGTGGCTCTGGGTGATACATGTTCGCGTAAGACAGCTGGTCGGATGCCGTACTTCTCCGGTCGTTGGGTGTATTGGCTGGGCCGTCTCCACGATTCGAATTCGGCATCGTCTAGTGGTGTGACAGCTCGCAGAGAGAAGCCTCGCATCCTTCTTTGAGATCGTTTCCAGCAGAAGAGAAGGGCGACGGCAACCGCCGTCAGGACGAGGATGCCTACGACGGCACCAAGGATGATCCAGACTTTCGTTTCTTGCTCCATAGTTGTAACGAGGGTGTGTATGTGAGTGTGAGAGTTGAATGGGACTGCTTTCGTTTAATGGTAAAACTTTGTCGCGATCGTCGTTGTTGAAGGCGTGATGGTGTATTGGAAGGAAGATCCAAAAAGAAGATATGAAGGAGTGATGTCGATCAGGTCACGACCATGCTGGCTGTGGCTGCGGTTGATGCGGCTACACCTGAGAGGTGGCGGTCGACGAAACGATGGTAGGTACCTTGAGCCCACTTCTGTCTGATATGAACCTTGGAGGGCGATGCGGATAAAGTAGTGCG